ACGTTCTGGATCCCTCAACTAGCCAAGGAAGTAACATATTAAATTGTAAATCAAGGTAATATATTGAGGTTATCTATCTATTCAAGGAGTCCATATATCAGGAGACAGCGATCAATTTTCATTTACATGGATTTTATATGTTAGAAATAAAACTATAAATGAGGATTGTTAGATCAAGTGTAAAACCAGTGACTTTCATTTCTTATGATCTACACCTATATCTTAGCTTGTATTCTTGTACTCTTCTGAAACGGGTTGAATGTCTTTTAGATTGTATTAAGGCTAGGAGGAAGTGTTATAAAGCAAGTTATGGGAAAATTGCCTCTGCTATCACGTTCAACCATCTATTTCGTTTGTCACTTAATGAGGTTTATATTTCTCTACGCAGGTCATTCCAACAATTAGTGACTTCGTAAAATACTACCATATGTTGTGTTGTTCCGGACATCCATTTCCTACAGTCTGGGAAGCTAGAAAGCGTCAACCGCCCGCGCATCCTTCCAATGTATTACACAAGACACAATCAAATATAATCTGTTCTCCTCAACTCTAATCAACCTTGTATGCCTGAATAAGTTTCTCTATAGATCTCAAACTTCAATTTCGATGTAGTGCTCATTAGTGAGAAGTTGTGAAGTAAATGTCAACTAAAGGTCTTGAATAATAATCATCTCATTATATCTTGAATTGATAGAAGTAAGAGACTGTGGAGCATTGAACTTTGACCCAATAGTTGAATGGCTGACACGTTCACCATAAAACCTGATTAGAGTTTGTGGGTGCTTACTCCTACAAGATTATTCATTAACAGTTCATTGTGTATACGATAACTTTTTTTGTAGAATAGTCGAATTTTTATTCGACATCAAACTGTATGCAGTCAAACGGTACACATATGTAAAGATTTCTGTGTTCATTTCGTTGATCAACTGATTGGTAGTTGAGATGGATTTACCTTTAACTAGTCATCATAAGTTCAGACGATCATTGCCATTTATCAGTTCAACCATTCAAAGTATCCTGTAATATATGTATGCGAATGTATCATTGGAAATGCAGATGTGTCGTTCTATGAAGATATGAGAAGGTATTTATCTAATTGAAACGGAGACCTGATGGCTGGTTCTCTTCAATGCTCAGTCTGTAGGAAGCCTAAAGAGAATGAACAATATTTTGAATTTCTATAGCTCAGTATTTGTTGGCAGAAAAAAGAATCTAATCCATTCTTCATCTTCCAGAATCAAAAGAATCTGAACGAATGATACTATCGACGATGAATTAGACAAACTATAGGAGGTTTTCATGCAAAATGGATACCCATCCAGATTTACTGAGAAGAAGTGGAAATTAAAATAGAATACGGAGCAAGTACTCACACTTCCAAAGAAGACTTTGTTTATGAACCTTCATTTCAAAGGCAATACGGCAACAGAGATTTCCAACAATCGGCTGTTCAGATCGCTGAAGAATACATTCTCCTGTCCGAAGCTACAGATAAGCTTCTCTAGTCATCTCTTTCTCTCCCTCTATATCAACATAAGACCAGGCATTACTGTGTAACGGTCCAACTTGACACACCTCACATATCACCACATCAAGTAAACAAGGCAGTCAAGTGGAAGGTGAAGATAAAAAAATTCAGTCTAAAGAAATACAAACTATTAAAAGAGAGGAAGGAAAACTGAGAAAATGGTGAGATTTGGTATAGCATCGTTAAGATGAGGATAGATAATGTGTGTGTATACACCTGCCTCCCACTGACATCGGTTCTCAGACATGTCATCACCTACAGTCAGTCTCCAACCACTCACTATTTCCTCTTGTCCCATAGAACCCAACCACCTAGTCTGCATCGCCTCACGTGGCTCAAACAAACACTCGAAGACTTCGTGCATTGATACCATATGTTTAGTGTGGCCACCATCAGCCCTTTTCCAGCCTGGACCTACTTCAGCCAACATTGTGTGACGACGCAATCGGTGACTAGGCATACGTAGTACGTGTCAGAGTCAGAGTCAACCATCTCAGTCGATGAAGGTTCACAACAACCGTGTCAACTGATTTACCTCTTCTCCCTAAAACTCTACACCTGATCCTGACTTCTGCATTACTCAGGTGGTGACACCACGGAATATGGCCTATATATACTACGAAGGCAATGGTGCTCAAACACTTGAAGTCTTCTCATGTCTTCCACCTTCAGTGACCATGTTTCACAGCGATAGAGTAGAACAGAGTGTACTGCTGTGTAGTACACGTGACCCTTAACCGGCAATCGGATATCACGGTGGTGCCACATGTGGTGTAAGTTGACAAAAGCCTGTCGAGCCTTTTGTATCCGTGCAGAGATTTCATCGGCCACTGAGCTAGCTACCAGAGCAGGGCTGATCCCACTTTCTAGGTAAGTGAAGTGGTCAACACCCTCAACCACTTCACTCTCTATTGTTATCCGAGGCACCGTTAAAGACCAATCGTAGAGTAACAATTTGCATTTGGGTGGTCAGAAGTGCATGCCAAACATTGTTAAATTGCCACTCAAAGTGTTTAGAAGACTCTGTATCTTGTCAGCGTCTTCATCTAACAGGACTATGTCATCTGTGTATTGTAGGTCTAAAGAAAATTCTGCTGCAACTAGGTCAACCTCTGTGTAGTTAGGTGATGATAGGGGTAGACGTCCTTAAGGATATCTATGATAAAATTGAGTAAGAATGGATAGATTAGGCCTACTGCTTTCGACGAGCGCAGCTCATTGAAGATTTCACCCTAGGCTGTAATTCGCCCAAAATTGTTCGAGTGAATAGCTATCAATAAGTTGGTCTACTTACTCGGCACGCCTTTCACCCAGCAAGTGGTTCCAGAATGCGTTATGGATAAGTTGCTTCTTTGGGTCACCTCAGTGTGTTCCAGTAAATTTTCGCTAATGTGTTGTGCGTTCAAACACTGTTCCAGGTACTGAAGTTTAGGCAGCCACTTAACAATTACATTAGCTTTCACAATACAGTAGATGTGTACAAGAATAGGCGCACTGTTGTTAAATAGATTTTATGTTTTTATTTTCTGTCTTCTTATAGATCAATATCGGTTTCTTTTAGTGTATTCGATATGAAGCGTGGGAACGTTAAGCGATGCACAGTTAAACTTGTTTTTATGTTGTATACACTTGTATGTCTCTAGGTTAGTTAAATCTGAAGGATGTTGCTGTAGTGCTGACGGTAGATTCACTGTATAACTTATTCCTTTGGCAAAAGCGGTTGTTTTCGGCGAATGTAATAGTTTTTTTAAAATTGTTTAATAGCTGTTGGTATTTATCACAAATTGTTGAATTCTTAATGGATAGGTAAAGTGTAAGACATCAGTGTTGTCCCTTCACCTATGAAATATGGGAAACGATAACAAGGTGGTTAAAGAGAAGTTGACAGGAAATCTGTGATTGAATAAGGAATCGTCATTCCTCCGATTTGTGTAAGCTTCCAGCTTGGCTATCTGTATGATGATTGAGATTCGATGTTTGGAGGATGTAAATGAGTGATGTGACGTAGAATCCATCCACTTTTTTTTTCATTCCTATCATTAGATAATATTTCGTTATTTATTTTACTCTCCTCTGTTGTTAAAATCAGTTGGTTGGTTGGTGGTGGGCCTGGTTAAATTTCGGGCTATCTAAAATGTTCTTTTTACTTGTTTTAACTATTTAAAAATGTCAACAAATCGGAAAATATACTCTGGCGCACTCTTCAACTCACCTTTAGACAAGTTAGAAAGAAGATAGTATCTCAGTAGAATGGCAGTTGACTGCATAAGAGCACAACAGTGTATCATATAGCTATTACAGAAATACATAGCTGGGATAGCAAAATTTTGTATATAGAAGGAATAAATCTCCACCACTACATGCAATAAACTAGGAAATGACCTGAAAACCATTGGTTATTGTGCATTTCTGCCTATCATACGGTTATTTTTAAAATTAGTTAATTGCTAAGGGTTTTTTTGTATTTCGAAAATAATGTAAGAGTAGTAAATTTGTGGAAATCTAACACTGAGAATTCTAAACTGTACTAACAGTTTTTTGTCTGTAATAACGTGGTTGTTATTACCATTATTATTGATGTCCTGATTATCATTACCACTATTATTATTATTATTATTACTGTTATCATTATTACTAGTCTTACCGTCATTATTACTGTTGCCATCGCGATTGCTGTTATTACTATCATTAAAGCTACCATTATCATCACTGTTAATGTTACTACTACTATTACCATCATTATTAGTATTACCATTATTACTACTATTTATCAATGTACTTGTAATTCCCCGTTGTTTTGTTGGATTGAATTGTTTAACCTTTATTGGCTTATGGGCTCCTATGCGGATGCCTCGATATTGCCTGAATGTTAATTATGGTAATTTGGTTTGCTGTGGCTAGCAGAGGAATCCAGGATGCGCGTTTCGTTCTATTTGGGACTCGTCAGCTGGATGCGCCTGCACGTCACTGAGGGATGTTGTTCTCACTGAGACTCGAACCCCGTACCCATGGGTTTAAACGCCAAGGTGTTATCCACTATGCCACGGAGGAACGATAGCTACTTCTTGTACAAGGGATCATAGTTATTACTATTTATTGATATACTTTTAATTCTCCGTTGTTTTTATTGGGTCTAATTCTTCGACCTCTATTGGTATATGCGCTCCTATGTGGAAACGCGTGTTGGATTCCTCTGCTAGCCATTACCAACCAAGTTGCTATTATTACTGTTACCATTACTATTATTATTAATATTATGTGTTATCATCAATATTACGTTTTGATATGAAGTGTTGCAAATTAGATCGTTATGTAGTTGTTTTCAGACCGCACTTTGACACTGACTCACTGTGTATGTGTGTGTACGAAGAACATTGGTCGCGTTATTCTTATATCCACTTGATAATAATTTTCTTCAGTTTAATTGTCAGTAAACCTTTGTCCTATATAATCCTCTTTTTTTAAATAGGATAAAACAAATCCAATCTATGTATTTACTCAAACTTTTCCAAGTGATACCAATGTACAGAAACCTGATGTCCTACAAGTAAACGGTAAGTAGAATTCGTTTTAGTGTTATGTACCCTAATTTAGCAGAGGTTGTGCTTAATTTTTTGCCTATGACCTTGAAATAACCTGCATAGCTGTTTTTACACCGTTGCTAGTTTTTTCTTCCTCCTCTCAAGGTTGAAGGCTTGTTGTTGTTAACTATGTGTGAATTTAGTATTGTCAAGGTCATTTAGAAATGCATATATATTCAGCATCCCTGTTAACTGTATTGATTGTTGTTGAGACAGTAAAAAGCTATCTGTCAACGGTCTGTCTTCTCTTTGCTTGTCAGCGGTGTTGTTGTGGTTGACGTTCTGATTTGCGTTAGAGTCGATTTGCTGCGCGTTAGGTTCGTATCGTTCGCAGTCTGCTGGGCTCGTATCGTTCGTAGAGTGTTAGCTCGTATTACCGATCATAGCATTTTGTTTTCAAACAATTTTCAAAGACGTGTACAAGACTGGTTGTTTTGATTGATATGTCATATTTCTTCTTTGTAAATAGTCCACTAGAACATGTTGCAACCTCTCAGTCTTTTTGGTGTTAGAAGATGATACCTAACTGGTTAATCAGCACTTAGAGATGATACGAATAGTATACATACTGACTGTTCAATAGCAAAGTGAGTGATAATTCACTTATCTAAAATTCTAACCACCAAGTATTGGGTTTCGGCTTCGAAATTTGGGGTACCGATACCTGCTACCTTGATGTGGTGGTCAGGCTTGTATATCAAGATGACTCAACAAGCTGTGCTGTTGGAACGCTTGTTCTCTCGAGGTTCTACCATGCCATAGTGGTTAGATAAAAAGCAGTTACCCTTAACATGTTCTTAAACTCTTAAACGAAGAAGTGGTGCGTTATGATGGCTTAGATAAGTCATCAGTGGTTATTGGTGATACGAAACCACAGGATGCATGCCCAACTACATCTTCCATAATATGGCCTCAAGCAGGTGTCTCCTGGTCTTTGCGATCATGAATTTACGCTTCTTTTTCAAGCACCTCAAGAAGAACTAGCCTTCCAAGGTATGGGCAGCCGGGAAGTGTCAAACGCCCTCACAAATATATCGACGCTTAAGTCCCCTTAGACCACTATCCACCTCTCCTTTCCTTATCTTCGTATCTTCTTTTACGTCTTTCAGTTAACAATCTTACATCATCTTTAATCTCTTCTAGTTGTGCAGCTTTCGACAAGGATCTGAGTCCACAGAATAGTATCACTGGTCTCTTTAAACTATACCCCAAATTACACATTGAAACCTTCATTGTCCATACCTTCCGTCAGGACCCAAGTGTGGTTATTTACTTAACCTCACCCGGCCAGTGTAGTGAATCCGCAAAATTCACCCTTTGAGTTTCTAAAAATTCGATGACTAGTTCTGGGGGTCTTGTAGGTGTAGGCTTAATATTAAGCACTAAGGCCGAAATCTCACTACTAGACTAGATCCCAATTAACAGTCTATGCACTGTCCGGCTCAATGGCACAGAGAGAGCTAAAAGGAACAGTGAGACATGCCGTTGTCTCGTTCGAAAAAAGTGGACGATGAGTTCTACCGAAAACTGTATAGCCTCTTTTTGAAAGCCAAATATCCAGACGTGGTTATTGTTGCAGGTGTTTTCAATGCACAAGTGGGTAGGCTGACACTTTCGGAATCCTAACTGAACGAACATATAACGGTGATTGCGGTACTAGTTGGTGTTATAAGTAATAAAAGCTTCTCCATAACCTAGTCCTCAAACGTTCATATGCGCTGCTGAGTTATATAGTCAACATATATTTCAAGCAGATGATGTAAGTGAGGGAATATATGATTCTTTAAGAAGTCATTTTTGCGTGGTCATGTGTCATACTTTCCCCCTACTCCGCATATCATTGTGCACAGAATTAGTCTGTAACTGCAATTGTATAGTGCATACGTGTCAACCTTTTCGGCTGATATGGGCACATCAAATGACTTTCAGATATCTCGTAGGACTGGAAACTGTAGTTTTTATTCGAGTGATATTCGAAGCCCACTGATAAGATGTCTACTCAATCTGGATTCGATTTACTTTCACCGGATACGTCTGCTCTGCAGTATTCCTGATACTTGTTTATTAAGCATTCTGTTTTGAAACTGTGTGTCTAGCTGAAAAAACTTAAGTGTTGACGGAGTTGTGAGGGCGGTTAACACTTCCCGGCTGCCCACACCGTGGAAGGCTATTTCTTTTTAAGGTACCTGAAAGAGATTTGTGTGACAGCAGAGCCCATCAGACATCTGCTTAAGATCTGTCACTCACACACTCTCGGTTGGCTTTTGCCAAGTGACGCCACCTGTGGTACCACCGTGATATCCGATTGTCGGTTAAGGGTCACGTGTACTGCACAGCAGTACACTCTGTTCTACTCTATCGCTGTGAAACATGGTCACTGAAGGTGGAAGACATGAGAAGGCTTCCAGTGTTTGAGCACCATTGCCTTCGTAGTATATATAGGCCATATTCCGTGGTGTCACCACCTGAGTAATGCAGAAGTCAGGATCAGGTGTAGAGTTTTAGGGAGAAGAGGTAAATCAGTTGACACGGTTGTTGTGAACCTTCATCGACTGAGATGGTTGACTCTGACTCTGACACGTACTACGTATGCCTAGTCACCGATTGCGTCGTCACACAATGTTGGCTGAAGTAGGTCCAGGCTGGAAAAGGGCTGATGGTGGCCACACTAAACATATGGTATCAATGCACGAAGTCTTCGAGTGTTTGTTTGAGCCACGTGAGGCGATGCAGACTAGGTGGTTGGGTTCTATGGGACAAGAGGAAATAGTGAGTGGTTGGAGACTGACTGTAGGTGATGACATGTCTGAGAACCGATGTCAGTGGGAGGCAGGTGTATACACACACATTATCTATCCTCATCTTAACGATGCTATACGGAATCTCACCATTTTCTCAGTCTTCCTTCCTCTCTTTTAATAGTTTGTATTTCTTTAGACTGAATTTTTTTATCTTCACCTTCCACTTGACTGCCTTGTTTACTTGATGTGGTGATATGTGAGGTGTGTCAAGTTGGACCCTTACGCAATAATACTGAGAAATACTAATTTTATATTTACATAATGACTACCGGAAATTCTTCTGTCGTTATCTCAGGGAATGTAATGTAGCGTAACTTTCTGGTGATTGAATATGTAAAAATATTTCAGTATCGACTCAGACGTCCAGTTTTCATAGGTTTTAGAAAGTTTTTGCTTCGAAATATACTATAGAAGTGAGTTGTATTTCGTCACATTCACTCATCAGCAACATTTGTTAACGGAATATTTAATTTTCATATCGTATAAGGTTGTGTGTTTGTTTGTTTGTTTTAGTATTCATGAATTATTTGGTTGTTTGATGGTCAGGATCTATCACTTTTTTTTTGAGACATCAAGCGTGATGTCTCACAACTCCATTGTACTTTTAATAGACGAACTAAATAATTTTCTCCACCCTATTTTTGTTCCTTCTTACTCGGACAACTGAAAAAACTTCTCTGATCGATTTACTTATTCACTCACCTGTATTACATAAGTGTTTGTAAAAGTTACCGCCTTCTATTCCAGAACTTGAATATTAACCTGAAAACTTAATGTCATATTCATACTCTTGAAAAGAAAAGCATATTCTTGGCAAGATCGAAACGTTGACGTTTATTTTGTTAGTTATTCTAATTTACTACGCCGGAATTACACAACTAAAAATACACCTTATACAATGAATACATAAATTTCTAGGTACTTGTTCAGAGTGATTTAACCGTTTAACTCGACAGAAATATTTTCATGTTTATGTCTTGATCGTAACACCAAAATAAATCTACAACACTGTCTCACTTATGATAATATAGTCTGTTTCACTTTCTAACTAGATGGTGGATATCCAAGACAACTGGCCAATCTTTCAGAATTAACACCATCTGAGAAAGTGTTTGAAGAACGATTACGTCTTATTCATGCAATTACACCGATTAGTCGTGAAACTGCTAATGCAATTGAACAATTAGTCTCTGAACAACGTCAAATGATACAGGTTGTTATGTAGATTGGTTTATAATTTTCTTTCGTTTTATATGTTTAAAACAATTAATCCATTTTATGAAATTTGGATAACGTTATTACAAGATGAAGATTATGTGAACAAACTGTGTGATGGATTTAAGCAATATAACATATCAAACAATCTGATCACACACATTCACCTGTCAAGTTGTCAATCTATTTATGAAAATTTAAAAGGTAACATTCGTCCTGCTAATATAAATCAGATTACTATAGATTACCAAAGGAAATTAAGTGAAACAACAAATTGTCTTTGTACATACAACAGTAGCTTTAGTTTTACGGATAACTATAGTTTCAGTAAATTTCAGTGTATACCCTGACTATTCCTGTATAATATCTTGAATGCTGTTTTCATACTCACCTTATGATTCATGTCGATGTGAAGATGGAAGTCCGTCTTCTGGACTTATCAAAGTTTGTGTGTTAAGTTGCTTTTCAAGCCATTGAGGTATGCGTTCACCCACCCTAGTCTGTATTTCACAGTTACTCCTCCCTATGTAAGGATGTATGCCCACACATACACATAAATCGGTAAACACACTAGGATGTATGCGAGAGGTTGAGGTTTGTGATCAAGCAGGTGTTTTATTGTCTCAACAATGATGAGCTGTATGGCATATTTTACTGAATACTATACTATTCGTCTCCCCTCTATATGGTACTTTAAGAAATGTATCCTTCTTCGGGACCGAGGAATTTGTCGGCTTTGGCGATTAGCTGTTTCCTACAACAGTTCACAATTCGTAATGAATATCCGTTTTCCATAATTGTGTCTATCAGAAATTGGCTCTTATCACCCATTGTATCAGATGTAGAAATACGTTGAATCCTATAGAATAAACATCTTACTAAGCCTCTTTTATATTTAATTGGACAAAAGCTGTAGAAATTCAAGTAACTATCCTGTTCAAGTAGGCTTCCTATTTACTGATTATGTCGAAAAAAATGCAAGTTGCTGGTCATTTTCTTCCTCGCATGTCAGATTGATATAATCTTGTACAGTATTAAGCCTGATGATACTGCCTGATTGCTTGAATCTCGGTCTATAAAGCAGGGGTTTGAACCTGTGACCCATATGATTTCGTGTTGTCTTATCCTAAGTTTATTATTATTATTTCTCAGTGATCGATCACAAAGCTAACTATCTGTGACTGGTAATATTCGTCTTGACGATTGATACGAGTCGTTTGTTTTTATGGAAATTTAGACTTGCAGTCCACATCGCACTCGGAAGTGATCTCAGTGGTGTGTACATTGTCTTTACTGCATTCCATTACTTTTAATTGTTTCTAGACCGGATTAGTAAAACTTACATGAAATCCTAAGTAGCAAACTGGCTTCATTCCTACTTGTTCTAAGAGAAGGTAGTATGCTGTATACAGACGAAAGCGCTCCACTTCTCTACTTAGTGAAGTTGAGGTGCCTCAAGGTGCTGTTTTTTTCCCTCCTTTCCTTTCCTCTTTTTTGCGTGACTTACCAACCTCAACTAAAGGCATACAGATGACCTAACAGTATCCATGCTGATTATCTCCTCTTCTGATTGTTGTCAGTTTAATTAACTTCTTGGACGAAATCGATTACTGATCTTCCTTAAATGGCCTCATACTCAATCTCTCCAAATGTTAGATGATTAGTTTTAGCTTACGATGTGAACAAGACCCATGACTCTTGTCTTATAAACGACTGTGTTGTAGGGAATGTGTTAAGCGTAATCCGTCTTGGCTTATCCTTTTCTTCTGATCTTTCTTGATCCCCTCATATCTTACTGATTTCGAGAAAAATTCTTCGCTTGACCTTTTATATCAGAAAACTCAGCCTCAACTCTTATGTTTCATTAATTCTTCTCTTCTGTCCATACACTTATTGTTTCCCCTTATTCTTTCCTGAACTTAGGAAAAAATATTACGTTGTATTGCATAAGATTTTGAAGGCTTTTAGTAGGGGAAGTAACACATCCCTAACTGAGCTGGTAAATGCGGTTGTGGATAGGCATCTGAACTCTTGTAGACAACTGACTAATAATGTTCCGTCTTATGACAAGCATTCTCTGCATTCACATCTCTCTCCACGTTTGTCATCTGGGAAGACAAGAGGTAAATATATTAAACTCTTTTCACTCACAACTACCTACAAAAACTCAACTATACTACCTTATTTAGCTTGTATCTTGTGTGAAGAAAATGATGTTAGACCGTAGTCTTATCAATCAACTTTGTAACAGTGAACAGTTATTGTAACCCTAAAGTCATTAAATATTTCAACAATCCTGTTATTCTTTCATCTTGTTTTGACATAATATCTTGACAATGCGTTGATGTAAGGTGTTGCAACGTAATTTGTTAGACTGTGTTTCCAGGTCCCATGCTGGTATACTTACTAACTAATTGACTTTGACCACATCTTTTAACATGTTCAACTTTTACATAAACTATATGTCAACAAAAAGGTTAGAATCTACGGAATGACAATAATATATAGTGATTGTTAAGTCTAATAAAAGCAATATGCAACAGTAGTTATGGACAAATTGGATTACTTCAAAAAAAATTGACGAACATATCCGAACAGGACCATATGAAAAAAATTAAGAAACCCTTAGACACGATCGTGAATAAAATCAGGAAATCTACAGCCGATCTGATACGCTGACTGAAACCATCTTTAGGAGAGTCTAAATGGTTTAATTTAATGCCTTAAACTAATAATCCTAGCAGAATTTATCGCACTATTAAGGTTCATAAACGAGGTTATCGTATTAGACCTATAGTTGACTTCAGAAATACCCCAACATATGAACTAGCAAAGTACTTAGCCTCGATACTGTGTCCTATTAAGAACAGTTCAAATTCCAGACTACTAAACTCTTACGAGTTAAAACATAGACTTAATGACCTACACATAGAAGAGGATGAAAAAATGGTTAGCTTCAATGTAACTAGTCTGTATACTAAAATACCAATCAATATGGCACTGGAGGCAGTCAGAAGTCAACTAAATATTGACTCAAAACTTACTCACAGAACTAAGATATCGGTTGATGAGAGAGATTATGTTAGGCATACAGTTATGCCTGACCTCCATAGTCTTCAAGTTTCAGGATAAAATATACAGACAAACACAAGGAGTTGCAATGGGATCGCCAATACCCCCAATCGTAGCAGATATATTTATGGTAGTTGGGAAAATATGGCATTCACAAACGTTTAATCCTGCACCTAAAATATGTCGGTGATATGTGGATGACACATTCACCACCGTGTTGAAATCGGAACATATCGACAATTTCCTCATGCATATAAACTCAGTAGTAAATGCAATCCAATTCAATTACAAGGAGGTAGAAAATGAACAAGGAGAATTACATATGTTGCATAAAACGAAGAACAGACGGTGGCTTCGATACTACTGTCTACAGAAAAACAACACACTCCAACAGGTATCTAGACTTCAAATCATCCCATCCAAAGTCAGTTAAGGCAGGATTAGTCAGATGCCTAAGTGATAGAGTTACAAAACTGACTAGTCAGGACAAGAACCTAAACGAGGGATTGAAACATGTAAAAGAGGCGCTGATAGTTAATAATCATCCTCTGCAGTTTCTTAAGAAATTCGTAGGAAGATACTAGAAACGTAATAATAAGGACAACACGAGTGGAAAGGAGTTCACAACCTCCATTGTGTTATCCTATAAGGAGGGTGTCTCAGAAACTATTCGTAGAATCCTCAACAGAGCTGGAATTAGGGTAGCATTTAAACCTACAAACTCACTTAGAGATAGCTTTGTCGGCTGGCTTAAGGATCTGATAGAACCAATTGAGTAAAATAATCTAACCTATCAAATTCCATGTTATGACTGTGAGGTCAAATAAATAGGTGAAACTAGCTAGTCGGGAACAGTTAGATTAGCGGAACTTAAGAATTTAGGGAAATGTAGAATGGGAGACCCGAATAAGATGAATAATCTAGACTGGAAAATCTCGGCTACTGCAATGCGTGGATTGACACACAACAACACGCAAAGTAGGGTGAGTGGGATAAAACCACTGTACTCAAGTCCAATATAATTAGGTGGAGAGAGGGAGAGAGATTACTGAATCTTCGTTCACCGAATCAATCCTCACCCAATACATGTAACAGGAATGAGGCAACACCAATCTGGACCAGAGATATGTAGAATTTTGCTACAAATAAAAACAACTCATAAAAGATGGCATAACTATAAAAATCTAATGTCGAAATCGGAGTGTGGATGATGAGCAACAGAGAATTTATGCTCGAAACGGTATCACTGTGTTATGAATCAAATAAATAAATCTAATATGTCAACAAAAAGGTTACTTTCTTACAGTTTAGTGTCATCCTGAAAGAGATATTTGACTTTTTTTCTTAACTAAATTCTCTATGGGATAATTTTCAGACTGGTTACCAATCCTCACTAGGATTGAATTTCAGGTTAGGAAACAGAAGATTTCTTGATAATGAACGGATGTAAGAAACATTCGACTTTTTCAGTAATTCATACCTTTTATAGGTTAACTTAGACTCAGTCAAGTCTCTGTCGTAAGTGAATGTATGGATGGTATTAACTTCTGTTAACTGGAAGAACTTTTACCTGTGTGTGTGTGTGAGGGAGAGAGAGAGAGAGAGAGAGAGATATGAACAGTTTATAGTAAACATTGAGCCCTCATCTATTATTGATGAAGAGCGGCTTTCAGATAGAACTTAGATGTTCATATGTACTCATGTTTGTCGATGTGACTTTGTTTCAGTGTATGTTTAATCACTTCCTACAGTATTATACATTATACATATATCCGTTTACATTTATGGTTGATAATACACAACCCGTGTTCCAACGTGCATGCCTGTTTAGTTTGATATTATAGACATTAAAATTAACTGAAATATAATTGTACTGATGACGTCAGGTAACATTTTTAGGAGATATTTTTTAATATGTTCGTGGATTTTTTAAAAAAACATTTTCCTCTTTTATGACATTTAACAGCTTATTACACACATGTAGGCACATATGTACACCATAGACCCATGTTGCATCACACAGTATTGTAAATTACATTTAATAGTCTGTATAATAGTAACTAACATGAAAATTAGAGACAAGAGTGGGAATAGCAAGATGGTTAAGACCGTAATCTTAATAACAATAACAATGGTAAATGTTTGTGTAATGAATGGAAGGGTTATGTTTTATTTAGAGATAAGCTAAACAGATGACCAAAGGGAAGAACGAGGTTGTAACAATTTCTGCTGGACACACAGACTTGACTTGTTCAGATGGATTCCGATCGCTTCTTCTGTATGTAAAACATGAACTCGTAAAGCGTAGGTTCGATTAGAAGGGATGTAATAAATAACTTTAAAGGCGTTATATGAATATTAACTCGATGACCAGTGTTGACGAGATGATAGAATATTGAGCTCCGTATTGGTCTTGTTCGCCCTGTAGTTAACCATGATAGGTGATGTTCACCGATTCGATGACAGACTTCATTAACTGTACGCCCAATTTAACTGGCTCTAAGGGAGTTGTTGAACTGTTAAATGCATATACAAAAGACGAAGTTAGGTAGTTTGTTTTTACTTCACGAAATCATCATCGGCCGACTGTAGAATAAGCAGCATAACTTTGCTGCATTGAATAATCTCGTTATGGCGTTGTTTAGGCGTTGTGATCGATGAAGATAACCAAATAAGACATGAGGATATTTAGTTCACGAAGGTCCAGTATGTTTTGAACTGACAGAAGTAGAAAATGTGAACCATTGAATTCCGACCCAGTGATTCAGTCGTAATGTGCTGGTCGCAGAACCTGAAGGTTTTTAGTTCGATCCCTAGTGATATCCGTTGCAGAAGAGGTGAATAACGCTTTAGCGTTTGAAGCCATAGGTACTTGGTTAGAGAGACTCATTGGGAACACTATCCCTTACTGGGGGGTGGTGTAGGTACATATAGTTGACAAATAAGTCTAAAACAGGATGAAACATACGTCAAACTGTATTCAATTTATTGTTATATTGTGTGTTAAAGTTGTTTTCTTTATTTTTTTTGGCTTTTTTCTTCATATTCAATTCACTTTTTTACAAAATGATTCAATTAAAAGTGGTCATATTGGGTAAATCAGTTTTGTTTATTATTCTTTTATAGGGATGGTGTGTTGCATTGGCTAATTTAGCTGAAGTCGCTGCAGATACCAATAAACGCTTGTTGTTTGCTACGAGTAGACTAGTTCAATTTGAAGAATGTATTACTGATTGGGAACGAAAATTGCACAAGTATACTGTTATTTTTCTTTTTTTAAAAAAACTTTTATTTATTGATATACTTGTAATCCTCCATTGTTTTATTGGATCGAATTGTTCGATTTCTGTTGGCATATGGGCTCCAATGCTGATGGCTCGATATTGCCTTAATGCTAACTATAGTAATTTGGTTGGCTGTGGCTAGCAGAGGAATCCAGGATGCGCGTTTCGTTCTATTTGGGACTCGTCGGCTGGATGTGCCTGCACGTCACTGGGTGATGTTGTTCTCACTGAGACTCGATCCTCGTACCCATGGGTTTAAACGCCAAGGTGTTATCCCACTATGCCACGGAGGAACGATAGCTACTTCTTGTACAAGGGATCATAGTTATTACTATTTATTGATATACTTTTAATTCTCCGTTGTTTTTATTGGATCTAATTCTTCGACTTCTATTGGCTTATAGGCTCCCGTTTGAAAGTTGTATGATTACTTTGATATGAATATGAGAACTAAATTCTACTGGAAACGTCATCTAGTCAGCAATATGCCTGTATCGCACTGTGTGCTATATCAATCAAATAAACAATGTAATCTGGTATTGTAGTCTATCACAGTGCAATCAGAATGATATTGAAACAAACAAACAAACAAACAAGAATGTCCAATAGGATAAAATGAATGAATTTAGTGTTCACAATCGCTTAGGAAATTAGACAGTGAAAAATATCTCATGTGGATAGATTAGATCAACTACTTATCACTTATTAACATCGTACTACACTATGAATCATAGAGCTATGGATCACTGATCATCGATTCAAGGCCTACTTAACCTATCGAGGTTTAGACACGAATGTGCATTTCGATGCTGAGCATCTACATACAATTTAATTAGTGGTTGATAACTTCGAAACTGCTTTACATCTATCAAGATTTAAGCATCACAGACAACACACACATACATTTTTTACTGAGTCACATTTCATTTATTTCCCTTCCCCGAGTGCTTTTCAAAACCAGTTCATTAGTCTGCTAGTGACGTTATTTTTTTTGGTATGTTGATCATTCATCCTACAGCTGAAAGTGTTTACATCTGTTATATTCACATTTCGGTGACCAGGAGTGGAATCCAGCTTGACATATGTTTCGTTCTATTTAGGACTCTTCAACTGGATGTGCTAAAGCGTATTGGTTATTCTATGATGAGGTTAATCATAGTATAACTCCACCCCATCAGGGGTCGAACCAAGGACCTTCAGGTCCCGTTGCCAACACGTTGCCATTGAGTCACTGGGTTGGCGCGCAATGGTCCATATTTCCTACTCCTATTAGTTCACGGCATAGCGCGTCATACATCTAATGTCGTCGTTGAGTAACTGTCTTCATCCTTGAGTTGGTTGACTCCACTCGAATTCGACAAGGTGACTCAAAGGTAACCTCCTGGCTACGGAACCTGAAGATCCATGGTAGGGTCATGGTTGCGCACTGCTAAGGAGTCCCATACTAAGGCGAAACAGCTGACCAGTGCTTTCAGGTGTCCAATATCCCTCCAACTGATGTCAGTCCAGGATGAATTCTAACCCTAAAATCAATTAATAAATCTCTACAAACCGTCAGATAGAATAATAATCCTTCTTATTCGTCTGTTTTCTAAAAAAATAATTTCAGTTTTCATGAATTGAAAAAGGAATTATCTGATCTACCATTACTGCCACAATTAGTTGTACTAGACTCGTCCACTGAATATAATCATCAAAAAGAATCGGTATGTTTTGACTGTTTTACTTTTATTTTCTTTATATGCGGCGTTTTGCTCTTTTCAAAGGATTAAATGGGATATATTTTGATTGTATTCATCGTTTCATCTCTTTATCCATATGCACTAATAAATTAGGTTATCATACTGTTCCATATCAATTGCATAATGCTTAATGGTTCATATAATGATTACTATTTCACAACTGTGAGGATTAATGTATAATTCATGACGTTTCAGCCGTTAATTTGTACAGGTGATCTTAAGATATTCGCTGTAATTATTTAGTGTACATTTACTAAGCATTTGTCCCTATATGTGGACAAAAATCTATGGTACACTCTTAGTTTTTATGCTTTTATATATACATATATATACACACGTGTGTGTGTGAACGTTAGTTGACTGAGATTGCTTCGATACGTATTGCCCATACGAAACCATCGCCTACCTCAACGTGCCATGTTAGGGGATTTGAATTAGATTGGAAGAGGGTTTAGAGTGGCCACATCAAGACGTAGCACAAGTTCATGAATTCCCTGACTGTTGGTCTGAGCTGTATTTGGGGACCTAAGGTGTTTCGCTGAAGTGCGAGGTACCTATTAAATGATTAAAACCCTATTTATGCGTCCAAAAAGAAAGAGTTATCAGTCTGTGTCTACTATGGTAAGTAGTTTTTATAGCGGTTGATGATTGACTGTGAAGTGAAAATTTCGACCGCTGCCGGATTCGAATCAGTAACCACTGGGTTTCTGACCTGATGCTCTACCAACTGAACTACTAGGTCCACCTACCGTCTGATCTTATTCATACTGGCTGCCTTGTCAGGACTTCGCATCTCAATCCAAATGTAACCGAATTAGAGTAGGTGGAGCATCACATTGGTTATCATTTTGACTATCTGAGCGAGAGGGCCGTAGTCTTTCAGACTAGTTTTATTGATACTGGATGGTGAGTGAAGTGAAATGAAATCTGGTTAATAGTCGGACCTCTTAGTTTCAGTTAGTAGAGCCTCCGGCCTGAAATTTTGGTGGTGGCTGATTCGAATTCGGCCACGGTCCAAATTTTCATTTCACTTTCAATCTTCACTCAGTTTCTTAATATGCTGAATCGGCTTACCCTCCCCCCCTCTTATCTTACTTCTCCTGTTAGTTCTTGTATAAAATTATTTTCTTAATTTGTGAACCTTTACTGACGCCACAGCAATCTTATCTTCATCTTGAGTAGATAATTTTCTATCTAAATTGATCCAGATATGCAAACATTTATATAAATTATAGTAATGATGGATAGTGGTTAGCTGTGGAATCCAGCTTGGTGCACACTTCGTCCTGTTTTGGACTCCTCAGATAGATGTGCTCGCCTTCTAGTGGGTGATTTTGTTCCCACTAGGACTCGGATTTGGGGCCGATCGCTTCAAACGCCTCGTTGCACAAGATGTGGCTGTTGTGAATCGACGGTCTAGTCTATAACACTGTGACGTTTGTAGCGATCAGTTCCGAGTTCAAGTGCTAGTGTAAACAACATCGCTCACTAGGAGATAGGTACATCCATCTGACGAGTCGTAAATAGGACGAAATGCGTGTTGAGCTGGACTCCATCATTAAGATATTCAAACACAGATAATATTGAGGCATGCATATCGGAGCCTATATGCTAATAAAGATCGATCAATTCGGTCCAGTAAACGACGGAAAAATGCTGAGCACAACATTATTTTTATGATTACATGCGAAAAATGTATTAGGTAGTAAGCAGCTGATGAGAACCCTCGAAATGAAATGGATCTATGTTATTCTGCTGGGACTGTTTCTCTTACTCTTTAAGTAATTACAAGTTGTTCATTGTATAGGTAAGTTTTAGTATAATCCCAGCATGTTGAGAAAATCGAAAACAAGATTTTTCTGAACGTTTCGCTGAATATGCCACAGCTTCTTCAGTAAAATATTCGGATATCTATCCGATTTTCTAAACATGCTAGGATTATATTGAAACTCATTTATATAGTGAATCAACCTGACTCGGCGCTCAACTTCTTTCAGGACATTCGTAACAACTATGGCCTGGATGTTTATAAATTACAAGTTGTATTATAGTGGATAAATTCAGTATAAGGTATACAGTTTTCATGTTTTTATGATATTGACTGGGCAGTCATTGAAAAAGGGAAGGAGTACTACTTTTATTTGTCCTCTGGGTTCCTGGTGGAACATAGGACTTCAGTAGCATGTCGCCATTTCACTCTATTCTCTTCAATCTTCTTGACCTGACTGCTTGACTGCCCACAGCCTTTCATTTCTTCCTCATACAATCTCCTCCATGTCACCCTTGCCACGGACGCCCAACTCGTCGTTTCCCATTTGAGTTCCACTCGAGGACCTGGCCTGGTCTAACCTGGACTGGCGAGTGATGTCCCAAAAGGTCTTCTCAGTGTATATCCAATCCACTCTAATCCATCTCCACTATCTTCTCTGGCATATTTGTTGAGAGATACGTTCTCGTTTGTTTGGTTCGTTGCCGGCGAGCCAACCAGCCAGAGTTCCTTGTTGCATATTCTTATTATTCTGCTCATGTGATCTTCAGTGTCAGCATGGGGTGAGCGTAGACGGCGACAGCTGTTGATGACGTATGTCTGCAATCGTTTGTTGATAATGCTTTTCATATTTTTGGTGGAACTCTGGATGATATCTCTATGATTATTGGAAAGTGTTGACCGCCTTGCTTTTCACGCAAGGGCTTGATTAGTGTCAAATTGTTTCATGTGTAGAACTAACACGCACACTAGTGAAACAATTCACTGTCATTTGCTTTTATAGCTACAATTCTGCAGGCTCTGAGTACAATGAAGAGCGAGCGCAACTTAAAAATAAACTGACGAAAAGTCTGCGCAACGATCGTGAACAGTGGTGGGCAGCAAAGGCTAAAGAGATGGAAAAGGCAGCGGCGATCGGTAACAGTAGACAGTTATTTAGACTTATTAAGGAGACTGGGGGGAAATGGTCAACAACAGTTAGTGAGGTTATAGCGGAGAAGGACGGATCGGCGATTCACTCGCAGGGAAGGCGACTGGGACGATGGGCAGAACACTTTGAGGAACAGTTTAACTGGCCTCCAGCCACCATTGCGCTGCCCGCTATCCAGTCGGACCCTGAATGGGACATAGAGACAGGTCCCCCAACACTAGAAGAAGTCGAGAAAGCGGTAGGTAGCCTGAAACGGGAAGGGCAGCAGGACCAGACGGACTACCTGCTGAGGTATACAAGAATGGTGGTAGAGTTCTCTTAGTCAGGCTAACGGAAGTGTTAGCCAGTATATGGGAATCAAATACGATCCCCTCCGACTGGTCTAAGTCACTGATCATCCCAGTCTTCAAGAAAGGCGAGAAGTCCTCTTGTGATAACCACAGAGGAATCAGCCTGACAAACATAGTGTCTAAGATCCTAAGTTCTATAATTCTCCGACGCCTGAGTGGAGCTCGGGAACAGCAAGCCCGAGAAAACCAGGCAGGCTTTAGACCTGGCCGTGGATGTATCGACCAAATATTCACACTGCGCCAGGTCCTGGAACATAGGCATGCTTACAGACGCCCGACAATAGCTGTATTTCTCGACCTGAAGGCGGCATTTGACTCCGTTGATCGAGAAGTCTTATGGCAGTGTCTGTCACTGAAAGGCGTGCCTAGTAAGTACATCACCTTATTGAAAGCTCTCTACTCGAACACTTGTGGGCATGTTAGAGCCTATGGTGAGTTGTCCAGGGAGCTATACTCATCAAGTGGTGTCCGTCAAGGATGCCCACTATCCCCATTCTTATTTAATTTTATCATAGATATTCTTATGGAGGTTTCCCTCTCGTCACCTAATTACAAAGACGTTGACCGGACCACAGGTGAATTTTCCTTAGATCTAGAATATGCAGATGACATAGTCCTGTTAGGTGAAGACGCTGACAAGATGCAGAGTCTTCTGAACACTTTGAGTGGGAATTTGAGAATGTTTGGGATGCGATTTTCACCACCCAAATGCAAATTTTTGCTCCAGGACTGGTCTTCAGCGGTACCGCGGTTAACAATAGAGAGTGAAGTGGTTGAGTGTGTTGACCACTTCACTTACCTGGGAAGTAGGATCAACCCGGTGGGTTAGTTGCCGATGAGATTTCTGCACGGATACAAAAGGCTCGATTGGCTTTTGCCAATTTGCGCCACCTATGGCGCCGCCGTGATATTCGTTTGTCTATTAAGGGTCGCGTGTACTGCACAGCAGTCCGCTCTGTTCTACTGTATGGCTGTGAAACATGGCCATTGAAAGTGGAAGACATGAGAAGGTTACAGGTATTTGACCACCGTTGCCTTCGTAGTATAGGACGTATTCCGTGGTGTCACCATGTGAGTAATGCAGAAGTTAGGTGTAGAGTTTTAGGGAGAAGAGGTAAGTCAGTCGACGAGGTTGTGAACCTTCATCGACTGAGATGGTTGGGACACGTACTACGTATGCCTAGTCACCGATTGCCTCGTCACACAATGTTGGCTGAGGTGGGTTCAGGCTGGAAAAAGGCCCGAGGTGGCCAGACTAAAACATGGCACCAATGTATGAAGTCTCTGACTGTTGGTTTAAGCCATGTAGGACGATGCAGACTAGGTGGTTGGGGTCCACGGGACAAGAGGAACCAGTGGTTGGAGACCCTAGGTGATATGGCTCAGAACCGAAGTCAGTGGCGCAGATGTATACACACATTATCCTCATCTTAACAACGCTATACCGAATCTCACTATTTTGTCACTCCTCTTTCCTTTCTTCTCGTACTTTATATTTCTTTTGACTGCATTCACTTATCTTCATCCTTCACCTCACTACCTTTTTACTTGATGTGCTGATATGAGGTGTGGCAACTCGGACCGTTACGCAGTAATGCCTGGTCCTATGTTGATAATGATGATGATGACAATTCTGTTATTTAGGAAACTTACCCCGAATCATTCAGTTCCTTGTAGAGAACTTAGTTAAACAGGA